AATAAATGACGTGTGACTAATAAACATTACACTTTAGGTAAACAGCTTCTCTCCAGTGTTGCTGTGAGCTTTTGTTTAGATAACCACAGGTCATCAATCAGTGATCTGTGCCCTTCAAAACAAACTCCAGTGAACACAGTGTGCAGAAAACACACACACACACACACGCAAACACTTTCACACACATGTGTTAAGGAAAATGAGTGCATTTTCAGTTATTTTTGAGAAACTTTTATTTTTGAAGACTTTTTCAGGAAAGTATAAGTAAAGGATTTTACTGTGACCCAAAGTTAGCGTACCAAAAAAGTATATTTTTTGCTTCATTTTAACCACAAAGATTTGGACATAGCTAAGTATTTTAAGGTAAATTAGTCAATTTTAAGTCATTTTTGAGAAACCTTTATTTTTGAAGACTTCCTTCCTGTCGTGTTTGGGACAAATCACACACACACACACACCTGTGAGCCTCGTTTCCTGGGTTGGGGCGTTCACAGACATCATTGATTATTAGATCATTGTGAGCCACACAGTTGTTTGTGTTCTTCAGAGGAGAGTCATTAAGGACCATGATCAAGCTCAAACTGTCACATCAGGTCAATGTCCAGCTGCTCAACAGCAGCGACCCGTGTGCCTCCCAACATGGTTTTTCTCCCCACTTGGTTTGATGACGAAACAGTCACCGTAGAACTTCTGGAGAAGTTCTACGGTGACTGTTTAACACTTTTTTTTTAAGAAAAAAAAAACTTTTTTTTTTTTTACATTTGTTTACGCAGATGTAACTGACGAAAGGTTGCCGCCACAGAGCACCGTAGAACTTCTGGAGAATTTCGCCCAAGTCACCGTTGTTGTGAAGGCTTTGTTGCTTTAATCTGCGTCTTAGATCAATCTCGGCTGACCTGTGTGTCTGGAAGCCACATTTCCCCCTTCAAACGCCGTGAAGTTGGAATGTAGAATTGAGAGTAGTGTAACCCAGACTGTGTTGACTGTATTCTTTGTCTTTCCCAGCTGCAGAGTCCAGTTGTTATTAAAGCCATCAAATAATAAAAGTGTTTTACCACTGAAAGAGGCAGAAAACATCATAAAACCTGGGAATAATGAGCAGGTGCTGCACCGTGCACTCGGCTCATATGTTACTCTGTATGATCCTCCACCGGTTCACCATCTTTTTTTTTTTTTACATCACTACACAACGGTGTGTGTGAGGGCGGAGACGATATTACTCCTCGACCCAACGTGAACCTTTACATTCTGTATTTCATTACATTTATTTTAATGTATTCTCAACTTAAAAGCAACGACAAAAATTCTTATAATCCAAAAAATATGTTAAAAATATTGACACCTACAAAGCTATAAAGTTGTTTCCAGAAAATGTAGAAAGAGATTAAACTAGATAAGATTGGATTGGATTATTCTAGAGTATATCAGAATAAATTAGATTAGATTAGAATAAACTGTATTGTTTCCGAACCGGGGAAATGACACTTTGCAGCAACATAAAAGAATGATGTCTCTGTTTCTATAGTGAAACCTGGAGATATGAGCATAATCGGTTCCAGGACCGAGCTCGTAACTCAAGGTGCTCGTATGTCGAATCATTTTTTTCCCATAAAAAAAAAAAAAACAGAAATAAGATGAATCCGTTCCTCCCTCATTAGTGCTAATAACAATGGGAAAAACATGTTTTTAATTGCTGCAGAGACATACACACAGAGAAAAAACATTATAGTATATAAGAATTCCTGTGATATAAAATAAAATGTGGTTTTAATTATGAGTGATGTGTGGAGGAGGGGGGTTGGCCTCTACATAGACACTTGATTCCATACTGTACCTTACATTAACATAGAATTAACTTTTTCTTTTTTTTTTTTTGCTTTTTTTCAATTTGTATTCTGTGGTGCTTTGGCCCAGAGGCAATGTTTTTGTCATTGGTGTAGAACCCCAGGGTTCACCTCCTGGGCAAGTTTGAATCCCGGTTAGGACGGTTGGTACCTTCCAGTGGACTCACCACCTGCAGGAAGGTTTGGGGGGGGTTGGTACGGTGCAGTGTGATTTGGGTGGCGACTGCTGCCCCCGCGACCTGGTAACGGATAAGCGGATGAAAATGGATGGATGGATGGAATTTGTATTCTATCTTTAGTGGCACCACGCTCATATTTATGAACAATTTCCTGCTTTATTTCCATGGTCATCATGCGTTTCTTCTTCTCACCACCATCCTTACTACTCACTCTCTTAGGTCTCATCACTATGATGAAGAACAATGCACAAAATACACAGAAAACCACGTAGATGATGCAAACACAATACGGAAGACTTGCGGGAGATGAGTACGGAAGTCGACGAACAGGTGAAGTGAACGAGTGAGGAGGCGTCTGCTGCTCCGAGAGCTCAACCACCTTAGTGCCAGTGTCTGTGTCTGAATTTTGCTTGAAGGCTTGCTCGTATCTCGGAATACTCGTATGTCGAGACGCTCGTATCTCGAGGTATTACTGTATGTTTATTATATGATATTATAAAATGTTATATTTGATTACACTGATTTATATTAAATTGCATTATGTTAAATTAGTTTAGATTAAATTAGAAGCATTTTGGGAAGCCAAAATTCTAACTCGGGTGTTAAAGACTTTTGCTTGTGAATAATGTTTTTTTTTTTTTTCAAGTGAACCAAACTACATTAAGGCGGGACATTTTCTGCCCAATCAAACCAGTTCCCGTGGACTATACTGGCGTGAACAAGATCCTAATCTACAGTCAGCAAATTTTCAGCAAAATCCTGAATTGATCAACAAGACCTTTAGCACACATTTTAGTACTAAATAAATTGGTGTATAACAGAATACTGTACATGTGTGTATAATATAGTCTGCATGCTATACAAAAACAGAGTAAGCTAGTAAGCTTTAAAGAAGACATGTTCGCCCGCTGACACGATGACAGAGCAGATATCTCAGTCTGGGACTGTTTATCATGTTTATATCCCCACTGCTCAGATCTGGCACATCACTGATGTTGTAACATTGTTAGCATGTTTCTGAACAGTGACGCTGTGCAGCATGTTTCCCTTCACATAGATCACGGTGCATAAGGGCCAAGATGGACGGAATGCTTTTAACTTTTACAGCACCAACTTTTGCCAAGCAAATTTTCCCTCCCCTGCTTCTTCTCTCCGAGGGCAATTTCAAAGGCTCAAAGCAACATTCACGTTCGGAACGTTCAGAACGTTCGGATCATTACAGTCATGTCACATCAGCTCTGGATGTTCAATCGACACAACAGAATGTACGGCCGGCGCAGAAGTGAGAGAGGTCTGCGTCACAGCGTGTTAATTAACGGAGGGCTACGGCAATTAGTCGTCCATGATTGGTGTGTGAATGTCCGTGCGGTCACGCAGTTGGAGGTTCAGTGCAGAGGGGCGCCACTGTTTACTGCACTGTTTTCCAAAGACTGGGTCGCGACCCTCAGGTGGGTCGCAAGAGTTTTTTTGGGGGGTCGTCTCCCATCATGTTTCCCAGGAGTTTACCAATAATGTCTACTGACTTGAGTCGCAAAGGTTTGTGACTTTTAAAATATGGGTCCCCAGAAAAAAAGTTTGTGAAACACTGGTTTACTGGACACGAAGATTATAAATAGTAAACTGACAGGTGTGAATTTAAAAAGTCTGTACTTGATCTGAACAGGGAAAGGAACACATTCACACTCTGCACTGTTTTATTGTACAATAATAGCATCTTTTTAATTTGCTTTAATTTAGAGCCAATATGTTAAAGAGCCTTTATTGTCAAAGTAAGAATGCAGATTAAGGTCCATCCATCCATTTCCATCCACTTATCCGTTACCAGGTCACGGGGGCAACAGTCTCCACCCAAATCACACTGCCCCGTACCAACCCCCCTGAACCTTCCTGCAGGTGGTGAGTCCACTGGAAGGTACCATCCACCCTAACCGGGATTCAAACTTGCCCAGGAGGTGAACCCTGGGGTTCCACACCAATGACAGAGACATTGCCTCTGGGCCAAAGCACCACCCAGATCAAGGTGTCTTTTCTTTTCTTTCTTTTTTTTTTACGTTTAAACAGAGCAACTTCTCTACACTTTGTTAAAGCCTTCAAAACTGAACTATTTTTGCCCAATAGCATAAAATGTCAATGTTCACTAACAACACGTTTAAATGAAGTCAAAACCGGTGTCATATTTAAACTTGGTTTAGTATAGTGGTTCCCAAAATGGGGCTGGTGGGCTCATTCAGGTGGCATGAAAATGTTGCAAAGTAAAGCAATTAGATTGCAACTTCAATATTTTTTAAATATTTTTTGGAAGATTTTCACTCCTTCCTCTTG